GTCAGCCCTGATGGGATCAGCTCCAGCTTTTCCAACCCCTGCATGGAGCTGGCAGGTCTCAGCTACAATGCATGTGTGTATTTTGGGGGGGGGGAGGAAAAGGGGGAGCGGGAAAGCGAGTTCTCCCAAAGCCTTCCCCATCCAGGGCTTAGAGGTGATGCTCCAGCCCGCTATGGGTTTTCCAAGACTACTACCGGCTGAATCGCCAGCAAAACTTCTACAAACTCAAAGGTCCCAAAGGTTTCCCAGGAGCATCCCGGTGAAAACTGTTTTCCAAAGGGATTTGCATCAGAAGGAGCAATCCAAGGAGCCTCAGGCCTATGGAATGCCCAGTGGGATGGATAAACCAGATGCTGTGTCCCAGCGGAAAATGCAACCATGGACCCGACATCCCCGTCCCTGCGATATTGGCTCGAGCTCGTCTTTTCCCAAAAAGGCCACGCGTGAGCCGAGAGCCCTATTGCAATGCCAAGCCGGAGCCCGCTGGGATCTGACCTTTGCTCCAAACAAAGCGACTCCCACGGGAATAAATAGGATAAACTCGTGCCGGGAACTGGTTTTCCCCCCAATTTCCAAACTTGCACAACGGCGCTGTGGGATGCAAACCCCCTTTGCCCGGCCAAGCTCGGCACCGCCGTGCAACAGGTCGCCGCAGAAAACACGGTGGGGATTTAATTAACGCAGACACCTCCTTCCTCCCATCCTCCTCCTCCTCCGGCCGGACAGGGCAGCGCGTTCGCCGGCATCCACCTGGCGATTTGCTCCCGAGTCATTTTAGCTGTTAACATCACAGCTGAGATCTGAAATATTTTCAGCGGAGGCATGGTAACGGCGAGCATCGCTCCGGATTAATGGAGGACATCCCCCTGGCAGGCGGGTGACGGTCCTTCGGGTGACACCGGGATGCGCCGTCCGAAAATGAGACGAACCCCGGCAAATCCTTCATCCCATCCATCACCCTGATGCTTTTTTGGAGATGCCAGACCCAGTTTGGGGTGATTTCATGCCAGCGGAAAAAACCCTCACCCCAACCCACCAGGGAAACCCCTCGAGATGGACAAATTTAGTAACTTTTTATTAGTAATGCTTTAAATGAGATTATCCCTAATCTCTAGCGTTTGGCACCGAGACAGCCTGCCAAATTCAGTTAGGGGCTTTCATTTCCCAACGCCAGGGATGCGCCGGGGACACCTTGAGCTGCATCATGTCCCGCCACTACCCAGCAAAGGGGTTTTGGGGTCCCGGTGTAACCGTTCCTGCCGGGAATGGAGTTTCCTGTGGGGTTTATTTAAGGTTTGGCCCCCCCAAGCTGGGGGAGATGAGTCAGAGCATCATCCCCTCCACCAGCCCCGATCTTTGCCGGGTGGTTTGGGCGGCTCTTGTTAGAAACCGGCGGCTCCCCAGCACTGAGCGAGGCTTTGCCGTATATTTTTCCGTGGCGGTAATGAGCGGGTTCTCAAGAAGTTGATTAGTTATGCAAATGGCAAAGGCATCGAGAGCCGGCCAGGGAGGGTGGGAGAGGGTCCGTCGGCACTGTGGGACGGGGAGCGGAACAAAACCTCGACCTCTGGCGTCTTCCCTCCTCCTCCTCTCCCAAAACCCTCGTGGATGGGGATGCGTCGCGCCCAGCGTGGAAATCAAACGCCAAGGGAGACGGCACGAGCGCGGCTCCAGCAGCGGAGGTGCGAGGGGAGACGCCGGCTTTCCCGGGCCTGGCCGAGCCAGAGGAACGGGCAGAACCGGTGCTGGGGAAAGGGGCTGGCTCCCCGGCTCACTTCGTCTGCCAAACCACCCCGGGAAAGGCGCCGGGACGTGGGAACCGCAGCACACCCCTCCCTCGGCTGCCGGCACCACCAGGACCAGCCCGGGGCGGGCAGGGACCCACCGGCACTTGGGTTCCCAGAGGAATCCCACCGCTGCCGACCCCGGCTCCAGCAGCATCTTTATAATAGTCATCTTTTTTTTTTTAGCACTCCCACCCCGGAAAAGTGCCAGGGCTCAAATCCCCACCGTCAGCCGTTTTCACCGGCGCTTTGCCAAGGGCAAAGTCCTTCCCCCTGCCCTGCCATGTGCCAAACGCCAGCCGAGCTGCCTGTCCCCACGTCCCCACCGCCCCGTCCCATCGTCCCGCCAGCCATCCCAGGGCAAAACCTGTCGGATACAACTCAGAGGCGCGAGGCGACCGCTCACCCCCCAATCCCCCAAAAAAGCAAAAGCGGCAGCAGTTTTGGGGGGATGCAAAGTCCTAAAAATAAACCCCAAGCAGGAGATGTTTCTCCCTCCCCACCTCTCCACTGCAGAGACCCCCCCCAGCCGGAGCAGCCCCCCCTCCCCATCCCCCTGCCTGCTTGGGCACGACGGGCGCGATATTAGAAATCCCGGTTACAACCACCCTGGCCGGTAAAACCAGAAGCGCCGAAGGAAGGCATTGTAATTTTTGGTGGAGAAAATGCCACGACTTGTTAGCTTGGCGATGCTCCCCCTGGGCACGGCTCTGCCCTCCCCACGTGCCCCCTTCCTCGCCACCCCCTTCTTTTTTGGGGGAGCCCCCCCGACGGCACCCAGGAGGGTTTCGCGCAGCATTTTGCTCTTTTATACCAAGAAATTCAATTTAAAGGTGGATTTTGTCCCATGCGTCCTGCTGCCACCCACCCTACGGCAGTGTTTTGGGGACGCCCCAGGAATGAGCTAAGCTTTGGGGGGGGGGGGGGGGCGTAAAGCAGAG